ATTTAAGATTGAACAATTCTTGTGTTTTTATGCCCTGTACGAAAAAACAAGAGGTGGTGAGTATTGGGTAAATATATGGGGATTGTGCGGCTTCAATGCGGGGTGCAATTGTCAAAGCAGGGTTTTCACAAATACCGAGCGAAAACCCGGGTTTTCAATTTGCACTCTGTTTTTCGTTCAGGGTTTGGTCACACTCGGACGGTCTTAACTCTTTGCTGTAAAGGGATGAGCACTGCAAAGACTCTTTTGAAAAGGCGCGTGTTTCCTGTCCATGTTTGCTATGCCCCCCCTTTGGAAACCCCCCACAAACCAAGCCAAAAAAACATGATTTTGGGAGAGCAGAAGAGCTCCGACAGCACCAAGAGCCAGCAACCGAGGGCCAGGAACCAAGAGCATATTATCCTGCTTCGGTTGGCTTGGTTAGAAATAGATGGGTTGTGATGGGTGCCACTGGTTTAGTCATTGGTTTTGTGCCATCCATTTACCGGGGAGATGTGCCTCATTTTTCCGAAAAAGGACACCTAGCCCAGATGCCAGCACCAAGAGCCAAAGAATAATCGCTCAAGAACCAAGAGCCTCCTTTGCCTCCATTTGCTGAAATGCACTGGTTTTAAAGGGAATCGATCTATCGCGCCCGGAATATGTTCTCTTCTTTTTGTCCAGGCGATATCGCAGGATCCGATTTGGCCGCCGGGAAAAGGCCGGGCCAGGTTTGAAAGCTCGAGTTGAAAACTCCCGGCGGAGTGACTCGGTCCAAAGCTCCCCAGCTTGGGCTCCAGGCGGCTTGCCAGCCAGCGACTCACCTGCGAGCTCGGCTCCGTTGAGGCCCGGATTTTTTTTTTTTCCTCTCGCCGGAGGGGAGGGATTGGAAAGCCCCCGTGGGATTTAAAGGGAAGGGAAAACCATCCGCAGGAAGGGGCCCATTTCTTGAAGAAGTTCCTTTTTAATTTGGAACCCATGTTGACTTGGGTGTGTCTTTCTTGGTTCCTTTTAGTTGTCCTTTAAATCACACCCATAAAAAGAAAGGGGGTGCCACCAAAAACAGCCAGACCCGTTTGAGAACCTATGTCTCGCCTCAACCGTCAGTCAGGTCCTAGGCATCAGGAGATGTTTTTGTCTGGACACTTTTCCCGAGTGTCACGGTTCAAAGGGTTGGTTTAAAAAAAAACAATCTACCGGAAAACAGCTGATTTGGGGGTTTTGGGGCCATCTCCTGTACGGCGTGGTGGTGTAGGTTTGAGGGAGGTATAAAGTTCCTTCAATTCTACAGCAGGTATCCCCATGGAGGTACAAACCTACTTATTACTAGATTTAGGTATGCCCATGGAGGTACAAGCCTACTCATTACTAGATTTTCCTGCAACCAAACCCTTTGCGCGTCGACTCACGTCGTACGTAGGACGTTGGCCACCCGCCTTCGTAACCGCGAGGTCCGCGCAGACCTGTCGACCATCGCAGGCTGGGCCGCGGCCCCAGCTTTTAGGAGCTCGCCGGGCGGATTTTGCTGGGTGAGGATGTGGCAGGACCCACATCTGGGCCATCTGGGCCCAGTGTTGCCCCCCTTTTCGACTTTTTTTGGGGAAGGATTCCCCTTTCAAAGTCAACCAACAACAAAAAGGATGGAGCCACAATCAAGACCCGGGTAGATGAAGGTTAGTAAGGGGCAGTAGCAGCCAGAAATAGTTGCGGCCTTCTTAATTCTTTACATGGTTCTGGGTCGACCATTTTAATGCCGGGTTTTGATTGTGACTCATCTCGGGGTGTCTCAACATTGGATATTTGTATGGAAGGTTGTTATTTGCGGCTGACTTTGGAGGCAAACCAAGAGCAATTTCCGTTATTTCTGGCAGATGTTGGAGGGTCTCACCAGAAGCAAGCCAGCCATTTGACAGCTTCCCCCCCCAAGAAAATGGTGGTTTGGATCGTTGGCGTGGATTTGGATTTGCTTCCCTGGTTGCAGAGGGCAATGGGAACCCCCTGTTTCATCACCAAACCCGCCGATTCGGCTCCACCAACTGGGGGGAAAGCTGAATTTCAAAGTTCCTCTTGAGCCCGGCCCTTTTTGGAACACCCAAAGAAGAAAATGGCCTCGAAAAGGCACGTGAGGCTTGTACCTGGGATGCAATTGGGATTCTGCCTCCCAACCAGTTGACTGACATGCCTGCGTCGTCGCAAGTAACCGGGGCGAGGGACAAAGAGGCGGTGGCTCTGAAAAGCGGGGCCAGCTCGCCAGTTTGAGCCGAGTGACCCAACCCGACCTGACAGATGGCCGGCTTGTGTCGGTCCATCTGGCTCAAAAGGTCTTGGATGTTGGTGTTTCTTACTTGTCACTCCCTGAGTTGTTGGACTTGATGCCTGTGGAGAGCCTTCGAATTTTCTCTACCAAAGTTCGGACTTGTGCTATGAAATCTGCGAAAGGGCGGTTGAGTGGCGGTTGCCCCAAGGTGTTGGCCGAGCCCAGCCACATCCTTGAGGCGTGCGAAGGATGGAACGGTGTTCTGGGTTCCATTGCCATCTGCAGAGCAATCACCTGGGTGATTCAATGAGACAATGTTAGATATAGAACACGAGGTCCCCCAGTAGTGCCCGTTTACCCTTTTTTGCGGGAGGGTTCCCCTACTAAAATAGATTACAGAAAAAAGGGTACCCTTATTCTAACCTCTCTACCGCAGGAACTAGGAAGAGAATCGTGAGACCCTTGAACCGTTGCCCTTGAGACAATTCATGATGAACAAGACTTAGAGCCTTGGCTTGGCGAACATTGACCAATTATGGCAATACTTGGAAACTAGGATTAACGACCCTTTGGTTGATTCCACAAGTTCATTGGGTTTATTCTGGGGTTGGCATTACATTCCTGGTTTTCAAATAGGCAGCTAGTGGAGTTAGATGATCGTTAAATGTTTACTCTGCGGGCGTATCTATTTGGGGGTGGCTCTGCATGGGGGGAACCCCAAAAAAGCACAAACATCTTACGCCACAAGTAGCTTAAACAACAAAACAAAATGCGGACTTAGGGCGGCTTTCTGTGGATTTGCTCTTAAAGCAAAAGAAGCAGTTCGCTTGGCCATTTTTCACGCAAGCAAATCTGAATGTTTTACTTGGGGTCCCAGTCGCGTTGCCTCATTTGAAATCCAGCTGCGCTGTGTGGGCAACCCTACCCGTAGGGTATACCGCTGACGTGTTTTGTTGCACCCAAGCTCCTCCTCAGCATTGCCTGCATCACCTGCACGCAGGCCGGCCCAAACACTTGGACCCCAAAACATCCCCGACCTCTCTGGCCTTGCGACGGGCTTCTGATGCCACGTTGCCCGACCTTCAAAAAACACTGTAAATACCACGCAAATCGCCCCGCACAGTCGCCAGCATCCCCGCCAACATCTCTGCATCCTCGCAAACTTCGCCAGCATCCCCGGCATTCCCCTGCACCACCGGCATCTGGGCGTTCCAGCATCCCTTACATCCATTGCTCAAACCCTTCAAACATGGCCCCCTGAGAGTAGGTTTTGGCGGTAGGCGGACATGGCGGGCAAGTCTGCGATCGAGTGGACGGCTTTTCTTATTTTTCCACCGGTTTCTGTGGGGCTGGGACGGGCTGCCGGGGATGCATTCTTTGGTCTGATTGGCTTTTGGTGTGAGACACGTGCGGCGCGCGCGCGCGCGGCGCCGGATGCAAGCAGGCACACATGCGCTCAAACTACGGTGGGTGAGTGCATGCTCAGTGTCAGGGGGGTTGGGCAAGCAACCTTGCAGCCTCTTGCGCGTGTGGGTTCGCAGCGAGCGCGTGCTTGGGTGGTCCGGAGGTCAGGCTCTGAAACAAGGTCCCGCGTAAACAGAGTTCTTCTTAGTGCTGCCCATCTCACCTGTCCAACCGGCCAGCGCAGCTGGTGATGGCGAAGCCCTAGAATTGATTTACATGGTTGTTGTTGGGACACATGTTGCATTTTTGTGTTTATTGTGGTTTAGTGGGAAATCCCCACTCAACTGCTAAAAAACTACATTTTGTGCTCCCCTTCCAACGTCAACCATGTTTGGATGGGTGGAAGGGCATTTGAAGCCCTTCCTCTTGACACTAAACGGGAAGCTATCCGCTAAGCTCCGAGCCGCCAACGCAAACCACAAGTTGTGGACGGGCTGGGTTTTCTTTTTGGGGGGGAGTGACTGACCCCCTGCTGGAAGAGGGCCTATGCATGTTTGTGGGTGGAAGGGGCACCCTCAAAAAAGGGACAAGCCGCATGTGCAGATGTTTATTGGTTCCAGATCCGCAGATCTGCAGGTGAAGGGCTGCAGACAGACGGGAGAGGAGGAGCCGGCTCTTGCGTGCAGGGTTCGAAGGTATCACGCACTCATGGCTCTCTATGAGGATCGGGGTACCATGAGGGGCTAACTGATGAGCAGGGCTTCACTTGGTTTAGCAGCACCCGACAACCCCATTCAAAGGGAGATAGCTTCATCGATGGACAGCACAATTCCCAGTCGGACTAAGGAAACTACCCTTAATGCCAAAGGAAAGAGGCTGGTTGCCCACAAGATGGCCTTGCCAGGGATCCACAGGAATAGATAAGCATACAGCTTGGCAGCTTGTTTTTAATTCATTTGCTTAGCGATAGGCGAGTCAGACGAGGCCGATAGGGCGTGACGGAAGGCTGGAGGCTGAACACCGGAAGCTGCCATCAGTTTGGGTGGCTCGTCCTTTTTTCGGAATCGGACTGCCCAAAATGGCGCAACGGTTGTCACGTTGATTTCCGGCAGAAAAAGGAAAAGACACCCCCCCCAGCTGTGACAGATGAGCAAAAACCGTGGAAGTGGTCCGACATCTCGGTATGGCTTTGTTTTTGGAGCTTCCAAAGCGAATCGACCTTTTGGTTTTTTTGGTTTTCCTTCTGTCTCGTTGTTTTGTCCCAAAAGGTGATCACCAGTTATTTCCCGGTGCTTTGGGCGTTGCGTTTGAAATATGTTACCACCAGCGCTGGCTCCAAATTCCCCGCGCCCCTTGCGCCATGGCTCGCGCAGCACTCTGCCTGCTCCCCTTGGCCGCGGCCGACCTGGCGGTATGCCCGGGCGAGGGGGCGCGCTACCAGGACCGACACGGGGGGGGGGGGGGGGCGTTCCTGTTCCTAGGCTTCGGTGGTTTTCCCTCGCGATGTTTACTGCCGGCCTTAAAACACTAACAAAGAGATGTCAGAAAATAAAAGAGAACCGCGACTTTTTTTGGTTTCCCTGCAAACCAACCAAGAGACGGCTTGAGATCAGGCAAAACTGTTGCTTTTCTTTTGGCTCTCCCCTAAGCACCAGCAACAAATAGGTTTTTTTTGTCTTGGATCCTTTCTAGAAAACCACCAAGAACCATGGGGAAATGGATCTGGTTAAAAGGAGGATGGCTGAAAAGAACGGAACTCTAAGGGTTGATTCCCCAGTTTTGGAGGTTTTCTAGAAAGAAGGATCCTTGGAAAGAATGGGGAAGCTAGCACTTGAGGAACAGGAATCAACCCCTAGACATTGGTTCCTAAACCTTGCGCGGCTTCGGCGCTCGCGTCGGCTTCGGCGGGAACCAGGACTTCAAGTGCAACCACGACCCCACCCACCGAGTCTGCGCGAAGCTTCTGGATGGCCAGGGCCAGCCAAAGGAGCCGAGACGAACCGCGTGTGCTGAAAAGCGGAACTTCTGGCATTGAGCATTGAGCATTGGCTTAAAAAAAACAATAACAAAAAACAACAACAAAAACCGGAACACATGGCTTTAAATTGTGTTAGGTGAATTGAGCATTGGCGTCTTTAGGAAAAGCATGGCTTTGGGTGGTGTGCGGTTAATTCATTGAGCATTGGTGTCTACATGGCTTTGGCTTAAGCCAATCCTGGTTTTGATTGAGTATCCGAACAATTGGCTCCTATTGGCCCTTTGGCCGACAAAAAAGAGCAAAACACCGAAAGAATGGCGAAATCCTACCAGTCGCAGTGGATCCCAATGACAGATATAGCAGGTAACCCTTCGCGTTGTTCCCTTTGGTGTTTATATCGGGCGGTTCAAGCCCTTGGTTGCCCTACAAACTTCCCGAATTCGCTCCCCATTTTTGTCTTTGTGGCTTTTTTGGGGTCCCTTTGTGTTCCACGAACTTTCCCTTTGTGTTCCTGTACCACGAGCAGGATGTTCCACAAACCAGGCAAAAAGGATGAGTTTTTTGGCTGGGGCCCGATTTTTCCAGCCCAGCAAAACCGAGTTGGATCCGCTGGGCTGGAAATTGGTCTTATGGACTGGGAGCATCAGGACTGGGGGAGCAAGGGCAACTTCTGGCAGATCACCGGCCAGGAGGCGATGAGAGTGAGTGTGTGTGTGTGTGGGTTTGTTTGTTTGTTTGTTTGTTTGTTTGTTTGTTTGTTTGTTTGTTTGTTTGTTTGTTTGTTTGTTTGTTTGTTTGTTTGTTTGTTTGTTTGTTTAATTGTTTGTTTGTTTGTTTGTTTGTTTGTTTGTTTGTTTGTTTGTTTGTTTGTTTGTTTGTTTGTTTGTTTGTTTGTTGTTTTTGTCTCTGTGTGTTTTTTCTTGGGGGGGGGGGGGTAGGGGGGGTTTGCAGTTTGCAAGGTTGTTTTTGGTCTCTTCCTGGACCTTCAGTTACTTTTTGTTTACCATTGTAGTGGTAGATAAAAGGTTTGCTTTGTCTTTTGGGCCAAACTCGCGGAAGTGAGTTGTTTCCCAACAGCTGAAGCCATAGGGTCGATAGGCCCAGATAGGCCCAGATAGGCGAGGGCTGCGGTTTGAGGCTGCGAGGGAAGGGTGCTTGGGTTGTTGGGCCACTCGGTTCTTAACGGCTGGGTTGGGGTTGTTGGCCTGAGCTGTTCGGAAGGGGTTAGAGTCGAAAGGGACCAACCATTGCCAAGCATTCAATGCCAAGCAGCGATTCAGGGGAATGTTGATCCCTGAATAAACCCCGAGGTATTACTCAGGGGTCCCGGTGTTAAGAAAGGATCCCCCCCGCTAAAGAAGGACCTGTATGTCTCAGGGGTCAGCATTAAACTGACTGCAACTGGGTGCTTTTGTTTGGTGGAACTCCCAAATGGAGGTGTTTCTTTTGGTCTTAAGACCATCCGAAACTGGGTAGCCTCAAAAGTTTCGAACCAGATGCGTCCAACTTGCCCGGCCGTAGGCTTTCCAGTGGGACGACCAGATCCGAGAGAACCACGGGGACAGCTGGTGCATCTGCATGCGCCTTCGCTTGTATTGGGTTCCTAACGTCCGCTTCGCTTCCCTATAGGTAAGGTTGACCATGATGGAATACGCCGGTTCTATTAGTAGTGCCCTAGCATGGTTGTTGTTGGGGAACATTTTACATTTTTGCTTATTGTGGTTTAGTGGGAAATCCCCATTTAACTGCTAAAGTTTAGATTTTTGCTCCCCTGCCAACGTCAACCAAGTAACGTCCGCTTCGCTTCCCTATAGGTAAGGTTGACCATGATGGAATACGCCGGTCCCACCAGGACGGGGCCTGAACTGAAGACTTAAAAGGGGACATTCCCGAATGAATCAACCAAAGCTTCCTTCTCCGAGGTTCCCATTACATCTTGGAACTCCCTGAACCCAGAAAAAAAGAAGAAGCAAAACAACTACTGTACCCAGAAAAATGGGGATTCACCCCCCCATAATTTTGGGGCAATCGCCAGAAATGTAAGTTGGTCCAGTACTTCGTTGGTACTTCGTCCTAGTCCAAAAGCTTCTGGGCCTTCCGGCTTTGAAGGCCCGGAAGTTTTTTGATGCTTTGGCGGTCAAGTCAGGTGGGTGTGTCTCTCTTTTTTAGGAATCGGACCCCCCCGAAAAGCCGGGTGTGTTTCTGTGTGTTCCCTGGAAAAAACAACCACCAAAGAAAGGTAGGATGAAAATGTCCCACTCCGTGTAGCCCTAATGGGCACCTAAGCCACTGACCGTGGGTGAGAGGCACATGTCGAAGGCAGACAGTTCACAACTCTGGGGTATTTGGAGGGTGCTTGTTGCAACCCGAGTAGATTCAGCCATGTTTACTCTGGATTATATCATTGAACCAACATGATCTAACACAAGGCTGAGTGAGAATCACCAGGGGGTGTTCAGCAGTCATCTCAGGCTGCAATGGGACACAACCAACCTGGCAATGTGTCCTTGTGAAAAGCCACGATTTGTCATGTCGCGTTTGCTGGATGTTGCTGGCATGCGTGTGTTGCACGAGCCCTTTCCTTTGCTCAGGAATCACCTTTTCATTGGCGTGCGGAACCGCATTGAGACAGCTAGTCTCTGAAGCGGTATCGGTAATGGCATGTTACTAGACCCGATTTCTAGATGTTTGCCTAGGTTCATGGCAGCATGCCGAGCAACGTACAGTATGTCATGCCTTGCAGCCTTGCTCGATGTGCGTTCGTTTTGGTGGGGCAGTGCTGCATCATCAGGTGCAAGATTGGCTCTGCTGTGAACCATCCTCCGTATGATTTACCTGGTAATTGGGCTGTCAACAAGGGCTTCCAGAATGATATTTAATAGGAAGGTCTGCATACAGTGCCAAATGCATTCCACAAAACATGCTCGCTTGGATCCCAGACAGAGTTGCAGAGGTAATCCACGGTAAGTTCACATAGTTGCATTGTGCACATGCATCTACATATGCAAGCACACATGCGCATGCGTGACGGCATGTATATGGCTGTGGGTCAAAACCCTGTACCTGGTGAACATCAACATAGGTGGTGGATGTTCATCCACCCCAAAATGGAGTCATGGGTTATGCCGTTCTGCCCCATGGCCATATCTATCTGTCTGTTTTTCCCCTTGGCACATGCTCTTCCAGATATATTTTCTCTTATCAAACTCAGGGGAAGGGGCCATCAAGGTGGGCCACTGCTCGGCTGATCGCTACGGTGGGCTGCGAGAACGTGCATTTGGACTGCAGAGCCACGGACGTGGCCTATGTGGAGACCCGGAGAAGTCCAGATGGGTTCTACTGCCGTGGTTCTACCGGGGGGGGGTGGGGCCTTCAAGAGGAAATGGAGCTTCCTAGTTTACTGTCTCTATTTTTTGAGGGGCGGCGCACAAAACATGCAACTGGGCAGCTCGTCTTGTTTTGAGGGTGCCCTCTCTACCGCTAACATGGCAGGGCCCTTCAAGAAGAAACTGATCTTCCAGGTACCCTTCCACAGATGCTACGTTTGTGGTGGGTCAGCGGTGTCAAAGTTGGTACATTGAAAGGGACATGCACCTCGAATCCCCTTCTGCCCTTGGAAAAAAGGGTAGAAACATGGGGAATTGCAGCTGTACACCCAGCCGTGTTACCACGTTTTGCGTTTGCTTTCGAGGCACCCGTTGTCTTTGTTCCCTTCATTTTACATTTTTGCGGGCTGTGTAGAGGCAGACCCATTTGCACCGGTTTTGATCTGTGACCAGAAAACGATCCCAAAGGAGCCTTCAGTGGCAAGTTCACGTTTCACACCGAGCATCGTGATCTTGCGAGGACGGACGGAGCCCAACCGTGATCTGTAGAGGTTCTCCTTCTGGGTGCCCCTATAACAAGGCTAGGACCCCCGGTAGTGCCCTTTTACCTTTTTTGGGAGAGGGTTCCCCTACTAAAATAGACAGCAAAAAGTTGGTACCAACTTATTCTAACCTCCAACACTGGAGGACCTAGAAGGGCTAAACCTTGGGTTCATTTGGTCAAAAAAGATCCAAGGAGAAGAGCTACACCGACGGGGGGGTGGATTTGGCGCCCGCCAAGCAGTGCCTGCAGCAGATGCCTGGAATTCAGGGACGGGGGGCAAAGCCGGGTGGTCCTTCTATGGATTTCGGGGAGGGGAGGTGTTCCACGGACTTTTCGGGACCTGTGCAACATGTTCCGTTGTTCTCTTGTTTTTTTGCGTGTTTTTGTTTCGGGGGGTGGGGGAAGGCCCCCCTTGAAGATAAACTCAACAAATGCGACTGGTTTTTCTCACGGCCACTGGAGGTCATCGAAATGAGGAGAACTGGCCAATGTATAGAAGTCCGGATGGAAGAGCACCTGGAGGTCCATTACTAGAATTCGGGCAACCTCCACCCCCAAGAGTAGGGGGAGATGTCTTGGAATGGTTCGGAACTTGAGGCGTTGCTTGGGTAGTACATGACTCGCTTGCATCCCAAGTACCGCGGGGAACCGCGAGGCAATGATTTAACTCCCTAGTGTTTGGCCCAGTCCCAGTGGTTCTTTGTTTTCATGCATCGAGCAGATGTTCCCATGCATAAGCATGTTACCCTAGGAACAGTTTGAGCAACAGACGGGGAAGGGAAGCCACCAGGGATGGGTGGTGTACTTTTACCAGGCCTCAGACCCCGGATCTTTGGTGCGCTTATCTCGTGGCAGCCCGAAAGGTGACGGGGCTTAGGGTTCAGGTGCTGGTCGGTGAAGCCAGATGAGCCACAATCAAAACCCGGGTAGATGGAGGCTAGTTAGGGACAATCCCAACCATAAATAGCTGCGGCCTCCTTCTTGATTCTTTACATGGTTCTGGGTAGACCATTTTAATGCCAGGTTTTGATTGTGACTCAGATGTTGTTTGTTAGAGGGACCTGGAGGTGTTTCAGTTTATTGGTCCAGAGCAAAACATGGCGTTAGGGCTTAGATGTTGCAACGCACTCATGCCAAGTGCAATCGCAAATGTTGACCCCATATGAATTTCAAGCCCAGCAGTACACTTTTACCCTTTGTTTGGGGAGGGTTCCCCTATTAAAATAGACTACAGAAAAAAGGGTGCCCTTATTCTATCCTCTCTACTGGAGTAGTTGACTGAAGTGGCAGTGTCCCGGATTTTGAGCTTATTGCAGCTGGTTTCTGCAACGGAATGTGAGCCACTGGCTTGCTCAAGGCGCATCAACCTTCTGACCGTTAGGCTCCTGTCGTGATTCAGCGGGGGCCATGAATCCTTTGCTTCATTTCCAGCTCCTTTCAGAAAGTGAGACTGGCAAAGACCATTTGGATTTCCTCATGTGGCCATGGGTCAAAATCCCGTACCCCCAGTGAACATCCCAATCCCCAGTAAAATAGACTAAAATGGGTGGTGCGCCTACCCCAAAATGGTACCATTGCTTTTGACCCACAGCCATGTGACTTGCAGCAAGGCTGTAGTTGTTTACGCGACCCGTATATCTTGGGCCACTGAACCAACTGGCGCCCGGCCAAACGTGGCAACCTCACTGAGGAAGTGCCCCCAATTTGTCGGCTTGGATGATGCCAGCACGCCCCGTTTGGGTGGCAGCCCGAGCGTGTATGACCTCAAACAGTTTACTTACATGCCATGTGCTGAGTTGTTCAAAGCGAATCGACCATTTGATCTTATGCCTCTGTTTTGGTAAACTTTGCTTCTCCTCCTTTGGGCAGCCAAGTGTGACAATATTTATGCATCCACATTTGCATACATGCATGAACAAGCCACATGCGAGCTCATTCGCAGAGTGTCCACAATCAGTTTGCATTTGCCGTATGTTTGTACGGGTGTTTTGCACCTCACGTTGCGTCACGCGCGATACCATTGCTCCAGAGCTGGTATCCACGTCTGGGTCACAGGTCGTAAAGCACATGTTGTGCGTTTTGTGCAGCTGCATAAACCAACCGATGGCGAACTTGTGTGCAAACACGCAATTGACTCACAAGCACAAGGCAATCATTATACTCGCGCAGACTCTATTTTGCAAGACAGCTTTCAATGTCTGAATTTGCCACCAACACTGCCTGGAATGCTGCAGGATGTTTTACGAGTTCAGGCTCTTGACAAGGAGCAAAGATGCGTCTCACAAGCCACCATGCATCTCGAATTCAGGAAACACCTCGATAAGAGAGGGGGTTCTAGCAGTTGCGTTTTTCGCATGCAACCCTTGTTGTCGTGTCCTGCTTTGTCCATTCGCGGTTAATCGGACCACGATGGAAGCCAAGCAGCCCAATGGGTAACAGGAATGGCTAAGTCTGCACCGCGCCTATGCACATGTGCGCACACACGTGCATCTACATTGTGTAAGTATTTTGAGATAGTTCCATACCAGTAGAGCCGGCGAAGCCGGTGGGCGGAAGTTTCAAAAATATAATCATTATAGTTTTGTGTCTCTTTCTTTTCTTTCTTCTTCTTCCTGTTCCCGGTGTCTCTTTGTTCCGTCATTCTGTGTGTCTTCCTTTCTTTCTTTCTTTCTCTCCTTGCTTCCGCCCTTCTTTTCTTTATTTCTTTCTTTCTTTCTTTCTTTCTTTCTTTCTTTCTTTCTTTCTTTCTTTCTTTCGTTTTGCTTGTTTTTGCGTTCTTTCTTTTATATATTCTCTATCTATGTATCTATTTGCCTACCTATGTGTCTATCTCTCTTTGTGTCTATCTATCTCTCTTTGTATCTATCTAAATATTTGTCTATATATCTTTCTATCAATATATATATTTATCTCTCTATCTATCTATCTACCTATCTATCTTTCTATCTCTCTATCTCTCTATCTATCTATCTATCTATCCATCTATCTATCTATCTATCTATCTATCTATCTCTCTATCTCTCTTTCCACCTATCTATCTATCCATATCTCTCTCTCTCTCTCTCTCTCTCCATCTATCTCTCGTGTATCTATCTATATATCTATCTATTTCTATTTCTATCTATGTATATATCTATCTCTCTCTCTCTATCTCTTTATCTATCTATCTATCTATTTATCTTCCTACCTATCAATATATCTATTAATCTACCTATCTATCTCTCTATCTACCTATCTATCTATCTATCTCTCTCTCTTTCTCCATCTATCTTTCGTGTATCTATCTATCTCTGTATCTATGTACCTATCTCTCTATCTATCTATCTATCTATCTATCTTTCTATCTATCTATGCATCTATCACTCTATCTACCTATCGTTCTTTCTTTCTTTTTATCTATCTCTCTATCTCTCTGTCTATCTATCTATCGGTCTATATCTCTCTCTCTCTCTTTTTATCTATCGATTGATCTATCTCTATATCTATCTACCTATCATCCATCTATTTATCTATCCATCTATCCATCTATTTGTGTGGCTATCTATCTATTTCTCTCTATCTATCTATCTATCTATCTATGTATCTATCTATCTACCTTTCTCTTTTATCTATATGTCCATCTATCTATCTATCTCTCTATCTATCTATCTATCTATCTATCTATCTATCTATCTATCTATCTATCTATCTATCTATCTATCTAATCTATCTATCTATCTATCTATCTATCTATCTATCTATCTATCTATCTATCGATCTCTCTAGCTATCTAGCTCTCTGTTTTCTCTATCTTTCTCTATCTATCTATCTATCTATCTATCTATCTATCTAACCGTCTATCTATCTATGCATCTATCTATCTCTCTCTCTTTATCTATCTAGTCTATCTATCTATCTATCTATCTATTAAATTGATCTGTACCTAAACGAGCGAAAGTGCTGTGCCTGCCACGAAATCTGTACTTGACCTTGCGAAAGTGCTGCGCCTGCCACGAATTTGGCGCTTGACCTTGCGAAAGTGCTGCACCTGCCACGAAATCTGTACTTGACCTTGCGAAAGTGCTGCGCCTGCCACAAATTTGGCACTTGACCTTGCGACAGTGCTGCGCCTGCCACGAAATCTGCACTTGACCTTGCGAAAGCGCTGCGCCTGCCACGAAATCTGCACCTGACCTTTCGAAAGTGCTGCGCCTGCCACGAAATCTATACTTGATCTTGCGAAAGCGCTGCGCCTGCCACGAAATCTGCACCTGACCTTTCGAAAGTGCTGCGCCTGCCACGCAATTCAAACCTTGAGAAAAGTTGACCTTGCGAAAGTGCTGCGCCTGCCACGAAATCTGCACCCGACCTCACCAAAATGCTGCGCCTGCCACGCAATTCAATCCTTGCGAAACCTCTGCGTTGCCGTGCCAATGGTCCCGGCGCCGAGCCCGCTCCGAGACCGCTCCGAGCCCGCTCCGACCAGACGCCACGGACAGGCTAGCTTTCGCGTCTCCGGAGACGCCAATTCACGCACAGGGCCACGCTTTTTGCGACTTTCTCATCGCCGAAAACGCCGATTCACGCACAGGGCCATGTTTTTTGCGACTTTCTCTTCCCCTGCCACACGCGCGCATTTTTCCTCGTGGGCTTATTCCTTCTCTTGTCATTTGTCTGAGAGAGCTAGCTTTCAATTAGTTGCCGTAACACGGAAGTTCCTTCTAAACTTCCTTTGATCAAAGATCAAAAAGAACCCAATGATAGCACAATGGTGCATCACCCGCCCAAACAACCCCCCTTTCCATGTTTTTGTGCATTATTTGCCCAAAGAAAGCCCACCTTTTCAGCCAGGTCCAAGATGGTTGCCCCCCAAATGGGGCACTTCACTGCCGGGGGTTCTGACCAAGGCCATAGCGCGCAGGCCGTCTCGACCCCGGTGCTGGCGGTGAGTGGCGCGCTGCTGTCGGCTGTGGCGCTGCTGCTGGCGTATCGGGCGCGGCCGAATTCGGCGCCGGCGGAGCTGTAGCGCTGCTGGCGTGGGCGGAGAAGCCATTTGAAGCCCTGAATCCCTTCGAAGAGCTTGAGTTCAGTAGCAGCGTCCATCTCCTAGACACAATTCCCACCCTAAAAAAATGGAATTCCATGTATGCTGAGCCATTTCCCCTTTTGTGGGGAAGATACATGGAATTGGGGACCCCCCAGCCCCTATGGTCGGGGGATTCATGAGAGGAAGCTCGGGTGTTCGATTTGGGACCCGTGGCTTGAAGCCGTCCACGTATGTCGAGCTTGGCCCAGCCTTGGCTCTTGGGTCGAAGCCTAGAGGCATTAGTCTTCGCTTGGCTTTGCCAATGGTCCCCCCCAAAGCATAAGCGTCCTTGTTGGTTTTAGTCCGGATGTACCAGGGATATCTATTGATCCAAAAGGGCACCTGTGCCCCAAACGGTGCCTAGAGAGCCACTGGACTGGCATTACTCGTACTTGGGAGCCTCGGCTTCTCCAGAACTCTCATGCAGCCCCGTTTCGCTGCTTTGTGCAGCCCAATTCTCAGGCGCGAAGCGATGCGTGCGTGCAGGTCGCAAAACTGGCCAGCGCAGTTTTTCTTTCTTAACGCCTCCCCAAATATTTGAGCAATTGAAACTATAAGGGCTGTGCACTGTGCGTAGTCTAAACGCGTAGCACATCTTTGGTTCCCCGCTTCAGGCTTGTTTTTTTTTCCAGGCCATCTATTTCAGGTAACGCTAGTTGTGGCTATTGGCCGTTTGGGGAGTCAAACCAAATCACGGGCTCCAAACCACCTTCTGGAGGGTACCTGATATGTCTTGTGCTCTTTTACTCGCAGAGGGGTTGTTTCAGAGGGAAACCAACAAGAGGATACCCCTCAGAACAGACACAAACCCATAGCACCCAGTGTCCAACTTGACCTTGGCCAGAGCAGACGGCACGTGCGATTTCGCGCCGGATTTCATATCGCCGAAGCGGCGAAAAGGCGATGCTAGCTGATGCGCTAGCCTGTCGGGACGACTTTCAGGGTAGTCTCCGGGCTTGGTTCAGAAGGAAGGCCAATTTGGAGGAATCCTCGGCTATGAGGGCAGAGGGGAGCCAAACGGATGCGGGGGCAGAAGCCGATTGACCAATCTTGGAGTCTGGTTCACCCATGAAAACTGGCCACAGCCAATGTTCATCAATTCTGACAAGGACCAACTCCAGAAAACGACGAGGCACCCATATGCTTGGAAAGACTGGGAGCGGCACAGCCAGTGGTTTCTCTTCTCAGGAGATGATCGCGCCCGTGGCCGAGCTGTGAGAGCTGTCGGGTGTGCCATAACGCGGGTGAAATAACGCAGGTGAAAAGATAAACAAATCAATTGTATTGTAATTGTACATATGGCTGTGGCTCAAATCAATGTACCAAAATGGCACCTTGCTAAATGGAACCAAAGACTAAAACCGCGTAACCCTAGGATTTCTTTTAATTTTGAGCCACAGCCATATGTATAAACGGGGAAAGATCAAAAAGCCAGCACCGGATGGATGGCTTCTCGCTGTGTCCTGATCCCCGTGGTAACCAAGGCTGTGCACCTCACGGTGGCAACCAGTTGTTCAATGGACGCCCGAGAAATATTTGCTTTGGCTTCATGGGTGCGTTGCAAGGGCCCCACAGGCCAACTGAGGCCACGTCTGAGCTCCTCTGGAAGGAATAAACCGGCGCCCAACTGGATGGTACTTCAGCCACAACTCTTCACTTTCCCCTGCCAACTTGAACAAATCAAGTTTTCTCGACTTCCCAGCACCCAGATGATGTGGGCTTGAAAGTGCACCCCATACACAAGCCCTCACACATGTCCCCAAAAGCCCTATTTGATCACTTTGGTTTGATTTGGACCTTTTTCCGAGGCAGGGCGTAGGATGATTGGTTGGCTGAGACAGAAACCTGAAATGTAGCTGCTCAATTGCACTCAGTTGAGATTGGTGGCTGTGTGAAAGAAAAACAAAACCTCCAAATGGCTTTCCTGTCCCAAATTGGTGTCCCGTGTATGGCACGGCAGCATGATTCAGGGGGCCAGGAATCCAACAAAGCACGGACGCAAGAAGAAGTGCTCGATTTGGCTGTGGCTCAAATTTAAACAGGAGGGGTTACACAGGTTTTGGTCCATGTTTCCACTTACCAGGGTTCCATTTTGGTACCGGTTTTTTGAGCCACAGCCATTTCTTGAAATTTGTCCAGCCGGTTTGCCGTGATTCGGACCGGCCCGGCAACATCCAAGCAGACATCACGAATAGCGTAGGGCAGGATAGATCTTCGCGAGCAATCGACTGGTTGCCAACTGCCGGATTGGCATGCCTCCATTTGTGAAAGAATGGGCATAGATGTTGGTTTGTTGGCTAAGGGGCATGGCAAGAAGGCGCTTCTTCTTCTTCTTTTTACTCCTTTTCGCTTGCTCGAAGGGAATCGGAGCCGCTTCTGGCAGGAAATTGAAGTTTAGAGGTGGGTTTTTCCATGGTCCTTGGTGTTCGTTGTCCTTGGTTTCCAAGAGTTTAGAGGTATTTGTTGTCCTTCACCCTTTCCCAAGTTGAGGATGGGCCGGGGAATCCAGGCGCGCGAGGCCCCAGAGGTGCTGGTCTTTTTTGAGTGTTTTTCTCTCACCCTCTTTGGGGTTGGTGCGGGTTTCCCAAAAGGGAAACCGCGCATGTTGGAGGGTTTCCCCCATTTTTGACCTCGAACATGGCAGTTCTCAGTTGTTCACAGACGACCTTTTGATCTCTTGGTTTTCCCATTTTGGTCTACTTTTAGTAGAGGTCCCAAAAAGGTTAACCTTTTATTTCCAGGTCCTTTGGGCAAGTGAGAGTTTCAAGTTCTTTGCGGAAGGCTGAACGAGCAGGGCTCCCGAACGCGATGTCCCGAGCCGACTAGAACGGCCTTACCGACCGCAGGAACATGTGGGTCACGTCGCAAGTGTTTGTTGACATGAAACTCTGACTGATGTCGCCAGTGAGTTGTCATTCAGGCAGACTGAGTTGCGTTCGTGTCAGCACGGGCTCCTGTGGATGTCACTTGTAACAAGAAACCAAACCGAAGGGATGCCAACAACTAGGATGCTCCTTTTTTCATGTGGGCGCACTGGCAGGCCTGCATGGAATGGCCTGCATGTCCATGCGCACATCCAGATAGGGTCCTTGAAGTGAGGCGTTGATTTGGGGGAAGGCCTTCAAGTAGGAACGAAGTGGCAATGCCCCACAATCCGAGGTCCGGTGGAAACCCCAAGATCTGAAGCCGCGAGACATGCTGAATGATGCTGGGATTGGTATTGCTCATTTGACAAGTTCATGGAATCAAGAGTCCATATACCTTTTGCCCTGCATGTTTGATCACTATCGATTGTTCGCATGCCTTTCTTTGTGGCAAAGCTTTTCTGAAGTAGACCTGGGACTGTTCCAGTTCGGTTGGGCGGCTAGGACGGGTTCATCTTATCGGATCTTCCAGATTTGGGAAGGCACGGATGTGGCAGCCGCCAATTCGGGCTGCCAAGATGGCCCCATGGGCCGCCACCTTCAGCAAAAAATGGCACCGTCCCAAAGCTCTGTGGTCTTCTCCAGACTCCATTCGAAGGCTGGCGGTGCTTACCGGGCTTTACTCGGTGCTCGGTGGCCCAGACAAACCAAGAAGCAGAGGGCAGATGTGGGCAGATGTGGTGGGTGGCAACAGATGACCCTGAATGGCCGATGATGGGGGCGTCCAACAATGTAAGTTACCTTGATTCACAGTGAAAGTTTAGCTTGGCTCCGCAAGGACGTATGGCAAGGCTGAGACCATTTCGGATGCACGGCTGGCATTTTTTTTTCTCCGGGGAGTGGTGGGAGGGGCCCAAATGTTCAGATCTGGTTCCCTGGGTACCAAATGTGGGTAGGCCATGGGGCGAAAGTGCACCTTCAAGACTGCAAGCTACATTTCCAATGTTCCCTTCTTGAGGGGTGGGGACAACAGATGTGTGGAATTTCCAATGTTCCCCCCTTGAAAAGTGGGGATAACAGTTAGACGTGTGGACAGATTGCGCAACGTAGCATGGTGCGCCTTTGGGGAGAAAGGCTGGGAGCGAGCTTCTTCATCTTTGGGGAAACGCGCCCTCGTCCATCCGCCGGGTTCGTCATTCTCCGAATCAATATTACGGATCCCTTCTTGGGGAAATGAGTTGCTCGCTACAAGACTTGGGCTTCTTGCTTTCCTTCGAAATCCAAGTCTCCTGCAAGTGGTTCCATGTGGATCAGGTGCTTTTGGCCACAGCTGGTAGTGCTTTTGGAATAGTCAAACTTAAAAAAAAAAGCATAAAATTGAAATTTCGGCGGGCCCAAAACTGTTTTCCACCCGAACAACTCTTTGCCTGTGCAGCCTTGGGTCTAGTGGGGACACGGACTTGACACTGAATCAGTGAGAGGGCCATGCTTCTCGATTGCTCTTGGGTGAAATCGTTAGACTTTAACTTGATTGCTTGAAATCTGGCGCCAGCTGGTGGGCCCTCGGTTTTTGTTTTGCCCTGTTGAGTTGATTTTCCATTGCACCCAGGCAGTGGTTGGGACCTGGTTCTTGGGCCAGAGCCCCCGGAACAGGCTTCCACTTTTTGACTCTTTCAATTTTGACTTAAAACCAGGATTCTGCTGTTGGGGGTAATGGACCACCCCTTGGTTTAAGTCTACCCTGACGTAGTCAAGAACTGGAACCCTGTTCCGGACATCTGTCGCACCGGGGTAAAAACGTTTCCGCGGGTCCCGAAGCGGTGACTTGAGGCCGGCGGAGCGCTGCCGCCAAGCGGCGGCTCTCGGGGAGGCGGGGTGGGGGCGTTGGGGGGGGGGTTGGGGGGTGGGGCTTGGGGGGTGGGAGCGGGCTGGGGGGTTGGGGGGCATGGTGTTGGGGAAAAAAAGGGGCGCGTTTCAGGGATGTGGAGCCGTGTTTGGATGGTGTTTCCTTAGAGGGAAATGAAGAGAGCACCACCGATTTGAAGGGAGCCCCATCTTTGGACGCGCCACCGGAAAAAAGCGACGTGACGATTCGGTCAGGGCGCGAGAAGTCGCAACGCAGTTTGGCACAGACCATTTGCTGCCATTGGTTTCTTGCAAAAGGGTCTTGTTTGGGGGAAGGTTGGATCTGAAGAAAGAAGTGCAGAGGAATGGCCTTTGCGAGGTTCTGGTGTTCCAGACTTCCTTCCACAAATCTGACTTGGATTTGGTCACAAAGGCCTAGATACACGGCGCAAAGCGAGGAGTGCACACCAAGCTGGTAATGACTGCACGTGCTTCTCGATGGCTTCACTTGACTTAGCACCAAGAGGCTGGCCCCTGTTTCAGACACCCCGCTCCGAGAGCCACATTGGGCGAAAGGGGATCCGCCAGAAAAGGGAGCAGGTGGTCGAAAACCAGGCAGCTCTCCAGATAGCAGGGAGTAGATGGTGCCAACACACATTCTAACTTCAACCTTTTTGGTCGGCCAGGCCACCGTGGGGCGGCGCAATGCTTGAGGGGAAATGTAGCCTTTGGCAACGCTTTTTTGGCGGGCGACCCTTAGATTTGCCACGCCAAAACCCCTTGTTGGTGGTTTGGAAACCTTGAAGAGATTCCCTGGACCGCTGGCCCTCACGAGTTTTTTTCTTTTCCCGGGCGTAGTTGTCAAGGGCCCCCCAAACACCCCGACTCCCAACAAACAAACAGCGACTGGGGTTGCCTTGTGGGAGCCTTTTGTGGGGGTCTCTTTCGGCCCGGATGAACACATCTGGCTGATTCATAGGGGGGTGTCCCTTTTAGCGGAAGTTCAGACCTCTTTTGGAGAAGGAAAAGCGTATTATCTCCCCAAAAGGAAACCACCTCCCAGCCGACTCTGCGCAGGGATTTGCTGGCATTGAGGTTCGCGCTCGGATGGCCCGGATGGGGCCAAGTGGTCGGCGAGCAATTGGGATTGAGTCAAGGCCAGATTTTAAAATTGAGGGTTGGTGGTGGGGTGAAGTTGGGTAAGCGCGTCCTCTCGTTTTTTGTTTGGGAAAATCCAGTCAGGGTGCTTAAGGGGGGGGGGGGCTAAGGAAAAACCCATCCAGTTTTTGCATTTTTGCTTTTGCGGTCGCACATGTTGAAAGGCGAAAAACTTTAAGGAAGCCAGGCAGAGGTGGAGTTCAATGCTTTTAAGGGCAGGTAGGTCGGAGTGAAAATCAGATTTTGGAGTTGCGGACCGCCCAGAGCGCAGACTGAGGCCATGACCAACATCGGCTTGGAGGGGTTCTTCAAGGAGCGCCCGGCAAGCGAGCGACGGGAAAGAAGTGCTTGCGCGCTTGTCAGGTTGAAACCGGCACCGGTGAGCTGACAAAAGCGGAACAGCATGTTCCTAGTTGTTCATCGTGTACCGGCTTCCATCGGAAGTTCAAGCACCATGTTCCAGCGCTTTCCAGAAGATCCAACCATGAGTTTCTTTTTCTTAACATGGCAATGTCATAGCCACGCATGTTGTTCCTTCTTGCGTATAGGACTGACAAGCCCTGCATACGTGTTCATTTAAGTCGGAAGAAATTGCCCTGTCAGCATTACACCCAAGAGGGCCTTTCGGAAGTTTCCCCATGGGAAATATGGGCGAAAGTGTAGTGTTGAGGCGAAGGGACCCTTGTTGGTTGATCTAAAAGGACAGGTTGGAACCCACTCATGAAGGGGGCGTCCCATAAAGGAAAAGCGTCTTTGAAGCTAGGGTCCGGATGTCCAATAGCCGAAACCTGTCGGAAGCTAGGGTGCTCCAAGCATGGCCTTGAAATGCACGCAGACCCCTTGGACGCAACGGCAGGGAACCCCATATACGTCCATTTGCTGAAATGAATTTGTGTTATGTTCCCATGTTCACGGGAATCCATCACTGGACTGCATGGCATTCTGGAGGGTTTAAGAACCGTTCAAAATAAAGGCGCTTGGAGGTGTTTGCCGGCTTTCTGAAAATGAGTTGGGCATTAATTCGTCCATGTGCCCAAGAATATGTGTTATGTTTCCCTCTTGGTTTTAAAGGGAACCTATCACTACTGGACATGTCCTTTTGTTTTTCTCAAAGCATCTGGAAGAACAGGGCTCCTTAAAAGATACATTTTGCAACCATTTGACGCATGTTGCTTTTTCAACACCAAAACCTTATAGCCTCCGGCTCAGTCCGCCGACATTGTCCTCTCCCTTTTCTCCTTCTTCCCCTTTCTCTTGTCTCCTGCCCCATGTGTTCTGTCGTCCTTTCTCCCTCCCTCTGCTCCCCATCCTCCCCATCCCCAGCCCCTTCCGTGCACTTCCCCTTCATTACCTCTGTATTGTCGCTGTATTACCCCTTCAGATCGCATGCGTTTCCCCTGGATGCCCCCTTCATTTCCTTTGCATTTCCCGTCATGTCCCTATCATTTCCTCGTCATGGCCCACTCAGTTCCTTCAATAGTTGCTATCTTTGAAAAGGATTGAGGACACGCAATAACATGAGGGATGCTTGACGGTAGTGACTATAAGAATCAATATGTTGTTAACTTATCATCGTTTGGCACGCCTGAGAAGTATCAAGACTTCTACGGGAGAGAGCCGTGTGACTACTGTGAATCCGGAACACATTGTACGAATGTGTTCCGGATTCAGAGTAGTCACACGGCTCTCTCCCGTAGATGTCTTGATACTTCTCAGGCGTGCCAAAACGTGACATCTTTTTTCAAGAAAAAGGGGACACAGCCGGGTGCCGCTCGGTCTCTGTTCGACTTTATCATCGACTCAGACATGGAAGAGAAGGACCAAGAGGAGATATTTCAGGTCACGGCTAGCCGTAAACGATGGATACTAGATGTTGTGTGCTTCGATCCATGTAGTATTATAGCTAACGCGTTAAGCATCCCGCCTGGGAATTATGCTCGCAAGAGTGAAACTCAAAGGAATTGACGGGGACCCGCGCAAGCGGTGGAGCATGTGGTTTAATTCGATGCAACGCGAAAAACCTTACATTTCCCACTCATGCCCCCTTCATTTCCAGTCATTTCCCTACATCTCCCTTCGTTTCAGTTTATTTCCCTTGCGCTGTCTTTCATGTCCCTGCGTTTCCCCTGTAGTTCCCCTGCATGTCTTGTTCCTTTCCCCTTCATTTCCCCTTTATGTCTGCTTCATTTCCCATTCATGTCCGCTGCATTTCCAATCATGTCCCTACATCTCCCTTCATTGCTTGTTCCTTTCCCCTTCATTTCGCTTTCATTCCCCCCGTGTCCCTTTCATTTCCCCTTGATTTCCTGTCATTTCCGCTTCCTGCCCCTGCATGTCCTTGCATTTCCCTGCATGTCACCGTCCTTTCCCCCTGCATTTCCCGCACATTTCCCCTTTATGTCCCTTCATTTCCGGGCGCTTCCCCTAAATTTCCTGGCCACTTCCCTTCAATCCCTTCATGTCCTTGTCATGCCCCCTTTCACTTCCCTGCACAGCTCTGCATTTCCGCACATGTCCCCTTCATTTCCCCTTTGCTTCCTCCTCGTTTCCTCTTCGTTTCCCTTCGTTTCCCCTTCATTTCCTACGTAATTGTCGTTTCCGGGGGGGGCTAGGGGCGTGGTTCTCCTCTATCCTCTCTTAAGTATCCGACACGCCTCCACAATGTCGGCGGAGAAAGGGGCTTCCCATTGACAAGTTGCAATGCTCAGGTGTTTCTATTGCATGGAGCCCCTGAAGACTTCCTCTTTCACGGCCAGGACGGCCGCTCCGTGGAGTTGGAGAACTGCACCGCCAAAGACGTGGCCGGGGACGACTTGGACTTTGGGACTTGGATGGGAGTTCTCGCGAAGCCAAAAGCGCCACTGGCGTGAACGCGGAACCGACCTCCCGTTGAAAGGAAGATGGGCTTCCAGGACTTTGTGAGGTTCCATGTGGGTGTCGGTCAAAAATTAAACCATCAGGGGACCGCAGGTTTTATTCCATGTTTCCATTTACCAGGGTTCCATTTTGGGTACCTATTTTTGACCCACAGCCATGTCTGTGGATGGGAGGGTAAGCCGGGAAAGCTTTGGAGAGAGGGTGTTTGTGTTTGTGTTTTTGCATGTCACTCTGCGAAGTGCTCAGCTTCAAGCTTCAGTTGCCCAGAGTTTGTTGCAACTGCCCAGAAAGGTCGGACGCGTAGCAGGGCATCAGCTTGTCATGTTCGAATGCCTAGATTTGTTGAACGCTTCGTGTTCTAATGGGTGCGTGACCTTTCGGGAATGAGTTGAACTGAAAAAGTCAAGCCGATTGACTCATGCAAATGTCAGGTAGCCTGAATTGGTGGTTTGAATCAGTGCTTTGGGGGTTTGAACCCCTGGTCCTAGACGGCAAATGAGAAGCCACCCCCCATCGAATCAATTAGAGGGAAGCTGAACATTGACTGGATGATAGCTGGGTGTGATTGTTTTCATGGGACCCTAAAATGCCAGGTGTTCCTTTGGGTTTTCCTTTAAAGCCACAAAGACAATGGTGCCCTGAAAAAACTCACTCAAGTAGAGGAGCTGAAAATGGACCGGATGATATTTGGGGCTGAAGCTTCACATTGTGGATGAGTTTGCTCTGGATTTGTGGAGGCTTCAGCCGTGAGCGAGTGCAGCATGGGAGTGCTGGATAGCCAGAAGCGACTCTACGTGGAGGTGGGACCCGGGAGTATCATCGGCTGCATATGGGTGCGCGTGAGTGCGCGCAGGTGTTTGTCCCGTTTTAGGTAGGTGCAAAGGGAAACCAAAAGGAATAACCCAATGTTTGGGCTTCCCGTATTCAGGCACACGCAAAAGTTGTTGAGTGGACTATGCCCTTAAGATCCCTGCCTGTGTCTGGTGGGTTTCATACTAACATGGTTTGCCCCAAAACATGCGCACGTTTGTTTTCCAGTCACAGGACGAGAGTCTTGAGGGCCAAACTGGGAAAGAGACCTACCCTCCCACCAGCTAACATGGAAGTGCACAGATCCCTGTAGAGACACTACTTTCCTCTTGGAAAGGGCCTTTTTGCACTTCCATGTTAGTTGGTGGGACGGTAGGGACTTTAAACTTGAGGGACAAGCGTTAAAAGCAAGTTATGCAACATGCCCTGCTTCAGGTTGGTTGATTCGCAAGGACGTGATAGGCACAAGATTCTAGCCCTCGCGGGTTGTTTGGTGGGAGTGATTGCACACCTCTTAGGCTAGTTTTTGCCCCATTTGTTTTGCAGCCGGAAAAAAAGAGGAACCACGACATGTTTTTGCATTTGGGAGGTTACTTTCACCCGTAACCAGACAGCAGATTGCAGCAGGCACCCCGCTTTGTTTGCGTTGTCCTTGGGATGTCAAATCTGGGGCTCCTCTCCCAGGTTTCCCAGTTAAAGGCCATCCAAAAGGGTGCTTTCCACATTGAAAGTAGGCTTTTGCTGGCCAGGTCTTGAGTGCTACATGCTGCATGCTTACCTGGGGGGGGCAAATAGTGACAAGACACAGCCAGGTCACCTCAGTGTGGTTTTGAGCGCAAGGTATCGTTCTGCATACTTCACAGCGGGTTCACTGCTGAGCAGATTTTTTGTTTGATTAGGTTGTCGTTTTGGCAGGTGGTGGAATTGTGTACTAGATCTTGTTTAGCCTGGGTTTCCTCCATACCCCTTTTTGGAACCTTCAAGAGTGGCCTTTTTTCCATGGAAACCACCAGTGAAGTGATCAACCTTGGGGAATCCGGTGACCCCTCATAGCCCTTGGTTTGGAATAGGAAGGATTGAGCAAGGATTCTCCGAGGATTCCGCGCTCGTTGGCGCTGGTCGCCCATTCATTGCCGAATCGCTCCCCTGCCAGCATGCTTGTTCATAAGCAAAAGGGTGCATCGGTGTGAAACAGGGCAACTATGGTTGAAACAAACATATGTATAAAGTACATACATCTGCAGAATTTCTGGCGAGCTCACCGACTCGGGGGTAAAACGAGCTCACCATGGGACAGATCCTTGGGGACCGTATTTCAGGCTTTGGAATCGTTATAGAATGTGCAGATACACACACATGACAAAAGCATATACATACATATTGATACATATTAGTGTGTTTGGTCTGCATGTTCCTGTGTGTGTGTGTGTGCTGTGGTGGGTCAGTCTTTGCGCCAAAGCTGGAGGTGCGGTATGCCGCAGCAGCTTCAAGACTCGCCAGCCGAAGGCTAACAGCAGTTTTGAAGCCTCGGCCCCAGCTCTGAGCGCCTCGCGACGAGGGGTGGGGAGGGGTTTCTGGGGCGTTTTGCTGGGTTTTCCCGTTGGTTTGGGTTTTGAGGGTCGCCTTTTTCAAGGGCGACCAAAGGAAAGCCACAATTTGGGGGGTTGGCGTTTGGCCTTTCTCGGCTTGGATTGTGAGGGCGCCAACTTTTTTTTAGGTCACCCGTCAGGTCGGTGGTATGGATCGGTGGTTTGAATTTGGATTTGAAGCCCTGGAAATGAGACACCACCACCTGACCAAGCCAACCACCAATCTGAGGGAAGCTGATATTGGGGTTGGACAAATCCAAAGGAAACCACATTTGGGGGGGGGGCTTCGTTTGCTTAAGAGTATTTCTTGTCTCACTCCCTGAGTTCATGGGCTTCAATCATTTTTTTGGGAAGTCCATGTTGATGGCAAACAAAAGGCGTGGATTTTGTTCCCAGTTGCCCAGTGGTGCCCTTTTTGTTTGTTTGTGTTTTTTTTTTTTTTTTTGTGAAGGGTGTCCCTTTAAAGCCAACCAACCAAACAAAAAGAGGCCAAAGCTTGTTTCTCACGGCCGCTGGGAATCTGAATGTTGGCAAGTCCACTCAGGAAGTGACTCAGTTGGTGTCAAAGAGAATCTATCAATGGAGGTGTCCGGTTTCCCTGCTCATTGATGTTTGCCTTTGGGAGCTAGGACGCGTGAGGTTTCCTTTGATAATTCCGCTGTCAAACCAGTGTCTGCTCGAAATGGGGGCTGGAATTCTGGATTCGGGTTTCCCCCTTTTCTTTGACTTGGTCTGAAAGCAGACTTTGGAACTTTCGAGCTTTGATTAGTCGCCTTCGTTTGGTTGGAAGCAACATAGCTTGGACCTTGGCTCAACCAGTAAGATTCTTAAGCAGGCATGCGGCACAGAGACATGGGAGCTTGCACCCCACTAAGCACCTAAGACCTGGGGCTGCCTTTGGTTTCTCACGACCTCCAACGCGTTTAGCAGTCAGATTACTTGGTTTGGCATGACGGATGTTATAGGCTTTCCTTATTTGGCCAATCCCTGATTTTAGTGAATGTATCACTCTTGGAGGGTAACACCCCCATATTAATAAGCGGGGGTTTAGTAATCCAGGGTCAATATTTTGGCATTTGGGTCCAGGAGACGTTGGAAGTTCGCAGCAAAGTCTTGCCTTGACGCCTTTTCGGAGAATGCGCTCTGCCCGCACTCACATCCCTTCGGAGCAGATGGATCCCAGGATCATCCCAATGTTGCCACGGCAATAGAGATATGTAGCGCACGGCTTTCTTGTTTGACCGGTTTACTTGCGCTTGTGCATCTTAGCAGCACAAGGACGGATGGATGCGGTTGACTTGAGACTTTAAGCGTGCCTGCCTCCGGCCAAGCATCAGGCCATTGACGAGCAACCATGTCATGTTGCGTGATCCTTGTTTTGAAGCTGGCCCCACACAAGCAACCAGCCTCCTACCACGTGTCATTTGCACGAGTCCCCATATTTTGTGTCGAAGCCAGCTTAAATCATTGCTTGCGTTTAGTCGCCAAGCGTACAGAAATCGCGTTCTTCCCGTTTTCCTTTATTTATTTACTTGTTTATTTATTTGTTTATTATTTTTTTGGGGGGGTGGGGTGAGTGGGAGTGATGCTTGCAAACAGGACCCCTGTCCCTTACATACGTTGCTTCTCCAATCCCTGGGAGTCGTTTGGCTTGGCCTCTGAGTCAAAGTTCCAAGGTTCCTGAGCGCCGGCGGCCTGCCGCGGCGCAGGCGAAGGGTTTTTTTCAAGTCGGCGGTGGGTGGGTTGAACCATGTTGAAAGTTGGACCAAAGGGAACACCCTGTGGTTTTTGGGCGTTTCGGGGGGGAAGCCGTTGTTGGGGGGCAGAAGAGAATTCCGGATGTTATTGGCACATGCCCAGAATGAAGGATGAAAGTCTCCTGTGAAACTGCAGGGGAACCTTTCGTTGTTTGGGGGGGCCTATTTTGACACCCAGATCCGGGGCCGGGAGCACTTAGATGTCCGTTTTTGGTGCGCTTGAGACATGACCTTTCGAGGGGTGATGTGGTGAGGGGTCCCTGTGACTTTTGGATCTGGACAAATTCTCGAGCTCACAAAAGCCTTTTGTGGAGGGTACCTTTTGGGGGTGTGGTTTAAACAGAAATCACCCATGTTGGGGTGCCCGAATTCTTGAGACAGGGGTTTCTGGAAGGTGTTTGGCGCCGCCAGCGCCCGTCATGTGCCAAGATCTCGAGCAAACAGTTCACGGAATTGACCATTTTGAATGTTGGTTTTCTAGTTTTGAAGCAACCACTGTCAGCGCCAATCAACTTGAACCTTGGCACCCTTCGGCTTGTCCAACTTCCCCCTCCCCGTCTCAAAGAAAGGCAAAACCAAAGCCGTGTCATGTTGAGCGGCACGAAAGCGCAAGCTTGCGCACCTCTTTTTGGAGCTTTGGCGAGATGCGCGTTGGATTTAGGGGCTTGGCCCCGCTATAAAGGGCCAATGGGTCCCGACCTCACCGCCTTGGGGCCAGGCTGCGAGGACAAATCAGAGCAGGCCAGGAGAACAAGGCCCGGCTGCAGTTGTCTTGAGATTTTGGTTCAACCACTCAAGTTTTTTCCCGGGACTTTGGACCACTTGTTGTTTATTGACTCATTTTGGGCCACAGTGTTTGTTTTGGAATTCTCGACCCGCTGCAATTTTCATCAGGGTTTGGCAGACACAGAAGCAGAACTTGAACACGGGCCGGATGGGTCCCCTGAAGACGTGCTTGTGATTTGTTGGCATGCTTGTTGTCCGGCCTCAGTGTTTTTTCCTCGAAGGATACATGTTGGCCGAATTGCTTTTACCACGTTTTCACCAGGTTTCTGCATGGTGTCGGTTTAGGTGCATCCTAGAGACCTGTCCTTGGTTAGCAGTCTTTTGTGTTTTTGGTTAGGCTCCTGGCCCAAAGACATGCTCTGTGTGGAAAAGCTCAACCGGTCTTTTTGAAAAAGATATGCCAGCACCACCCCCCCAACAACTGTTCTTCCCAAATCCCAAGTACGGTCCAAAATATGCAATTGTTGGGGGTGCGCTGGTGTCCCGGTGCGCCTGTTGTTTTTCAGGGTCTTGCTTGTTTAGCCTAAAGGAAACAACCCAACCCAGAGACCCATTGAGTTTTTGTCCCAAGCACTTTGGCCGAAAGGAACCCTCCTGGCCACTCAGATGAGGGCTGTAGGTGTTCTGCAGGCAGAATTCGGAATAGCAGGCGGCCAAAGGAGAATTCACCATGCACAAGAAGGGATGGATATGTCGTCTTTTGAGGGTAGCCCCTTGTGTGGTTGGACGACAAGAAGACGTGTACCCAAATGGTTTGGTTGACGGTTCCCTTAGCGGGATGTCTTGCAAAAAGAGTTTGAGCACTTTTCATGGGTGTGTGTGTGTGTGTTTTTGGCGGTACCCTTTTTGGTGGTTTGAGAGGGAATTCAAAGGGCAAAACAGCATTTTGGGGGGTCCCCGAAAGACCCATGTGAAAGCTATCCATAATGTGGGCACAGACAGCGGCATTGTAGCAAAGTGTTTGTTTGCGTCACGCATGGTTGCCATTGTTTGTGTGTGTGTGTGAGTGTGTGTGATTGTGAGTGTGTGTGTGTGTGATTGTGTGTGTGTGATTGTGTGTGTGTGTGATTGTGTGTGTGTGATTGTGTGTGTGTGTGATTGTGTGTGTGTGATTGTGTTGTGTGTGTGTTGTGTTGATGTGTGTGTGTGTGATTGTGTGTGTGTGTGTGATTGTGTGTGTGTGATTGTGTGTGTGATTGTGTGTGTGTGATTGTGTGTGTGTGTCTGTGTGTGTGTGTATGTGTGTATGTGTGTATGTGTGTATGTGTGTATGTGTGTATGTGTGTATGTGTGTATGTGTGTATGTGTGTATGTGTATGTGTGTATGTGTGTATGTGTGTATGTGTGTATGTGTGTATGTGTGTATGTGTGTATGTGTGTATGTGTGTATGTGTGTATGTGTGTATGTGTGTATGTGTGTATGTGTGTATGTGTGTATGTGTGTATGTGTGTGTGTGTGTGTGTGTGTGTGTGTGTGTGTGTGTGTGTGTGTGTGTGTGTGTGTGTGTGTGTGTGTGTTGTGTGTGTGTGTGTGTGTGTGGTGTGTGTGAGTGTGTGTGTGTGTGTGTGTGTGTGTGTGTGTGTGTGTGTGTGTGTGTGTGTGTGTGTGTGTGTGTGTGTGTGTGTGTGTGTGTGTGTGTGTGTGTGTGTGTGTGTGTGTGTGTGTGTGTGTGTGTGTGTGTGTGTGTGTGTGTGTGTGTGTGTGTGATTGTGTGTGTGTGTTGTGTGTGTGGTTGTGTGTGTGTGATTGTGTGTGTGTGTGTGTGTGTGTGTGTGTGTGTGTGTGTGTGTGTGTGTGTGTGTGTGTGTGTGTGTGTGTGGTGTGTGTGTGTGTGTGTGTGTGTGTGTGTGTGTGTGTGTGTGTGTGTGTGTGTGTGTGTGTGTGTGTGTGTGTGTGTGTGTGTGTGTGTGTGTGTGTGTGTGTGTGTGTGTGTGTGTGTGTGTTTTTTGCGTCATTTCGTCAGTTTCCTTTTCGTCTCCACGTCACCTCGCTCACATCTCGCCGCCAGGTTGAGTTTTACATCTTCGAGGAATTCCCAGAGCCGGGGCTCCTGGAAGACAGGTCCTGCCGTTCGAGTTGCTGTCATTTGCCGGGCATGTATCGTATCCCTGGCTTCAGACTATATAGCTCACAGTTGGTAAGCCGTATGCGTGGGGTTTCTCCACAAGTTGGGATACAGTTTTGGTATCCCGCGTGACATTGGATCGAGCGTTGCCCCAGCCAACATGATTCCTTCCGCTCTCGGAGTCGGAACAACTTTGTCACCAAACGATCTTGCGAGTCGGCAACCGACAGTCTGAGAAGACAAAGAAAATACCGGAGCCTCCCTAAAAGTTGCAGAGGTTTACAATCAACCCATTAAGTTACACACCACCTGTTGGTCTCCCTTAAACCCTCAAAGGGCCCAGGGATCCCAGGGGGTTGTTTAAACATTCTCCCAACGGATGAAAGTGCAAAGAGCTAGGGCTGCGATACGCACAAGATAGCCAGATTGAACAGCGTAAACATAGCGTGCTCGACTTCTCTCCTTGTAGGGGGCCCCAAATTGTGGTTTTCCTTTAAAGCCACCAAAAAGGCGTACCCGAGAAAAGACATCCCCATATTAAGCAGACCTAATGCAAAATCATGTTCATCCACAATGGTTCCTTTCGGGACGTAAGGCGGATTCTGCCGCGCGGGGTCACCCTCATGGAAACCTCCAACTTGACTGGGCTTCAGCTGCCTTCAAATCCTTTCTGTTTGGGTGTGTGCTTGCTTGCTTGCTTGCTTGCTTGCTTGCTTGCTTGCTTGCTTGCTTGCTTTCTTGCTTGCTTGCTTGCTTGCTTGCTTGCTTGCTTTCTTGCTTGCTTGCTTGCTTGCTTGCTTGCTTGCTTGCTTGCTTGCTTGCTTGCTTGCTTGCTTTGCTTGCTTGCTTGCTTGCTTGCTTGCTTGCTTGCTTGCTTGCTTGCTTGCTTGCTTGCTTGCTTGCTTGCTTGCTTGCTTGCTTGCTTGCCGGCTTGCTTGCTTGCTTGCTTGCTTGCTTGCTTGCTTGCTTGCCTGCTTTGATTGCTTGCTTGCTTGCTTGCTTGCTTTCTTGCTTGCTTGCTTGCTTGCTTGCTTGCTTTGATTGCTTGCTTGCTTGCTTGCTTGCTTGCCTGCTTTGATTGCTTGCTTGCTTGCTTGCTTTGATTGCTTGCTTGCCGGCTTGCTTGCTTGCTTGCTTGCTTGCTTGCTTGCTTGCTTTCTTGCTTGCTTGCTTGCTTTCTTGCTTGCTTGCTTGCTTGCTTGCTTGCTTGCTTGCTTGCTTTCTTGCTTGCTTGCTTGCTTGCTTGCTTGCTTGCTTGCTTGCTTTGATTGCTTGCTTGCTTGTTTGCTTGCTTGCTTGCTTGCCTGCTTTGATTGCTTGCTTGCTTTCTTTCTTGCTTGCTTTGCTTTCTTTGCTTGCTTGCTTGCTTGCTTGCTTGCTTGCTTGCTTGCTTGCTTGCTTGCTTGCTTGCTTGCTTGCTTGCTTGCCTGCTTTGATTGCTTGCTTGCTTGCTTGCTTTCTTGCTTGCTTGCTTGCTTGCTTGCTTGCCTGCTTTGATTGCTTGCTTGTTTGTTATCCAGCTTGCTTGCTTGTTTGTTATCCTGCTTGTTTGATTGCTTTTTTGTTTGTGTTCCTGCCTGTTTGTTTGTGCGTTTGTTTGTGTAGTTGTTTGCTCGCTTCAAAGAGGCCACTTCAAAGCCGCTTCGTTGCGGGTCCGAATTCTTTTTCACTCGTTTTGAAGGTCCTTAGCTTCCTCTTTTTGAAGGAGTTCTATATAGAAACGGTTTGGGTGGAACCACCGAATCACCGAACCAACAGAAACCGAAAGGGGAAAGAACTGGTGAAATCCACAACCGTCTTCTAGAGTTCGACCAACCCCATGGAGAGCGGAGGTCAGACCTTTGAGCCTAGCTCTGCTTGGGCAGGGGCCGAGAGTGCAAACGATGCTGTTTGGCCTTAAGTTGCTCACTTCCTGAGTTCCCTTCAAACGGCCTCAAACGGGTTCTTCCCCAAAAAGACACCCATCTGGACGTTGTTCGCTTCTTGGGTAAACCGTTTCGGTTTCTGGACATTTTCTGACCAATCCCCACTCGGGAAGTGAGGCTAAGCACGGAAAGAGAAAGAGTCACCCCAAAAGGCACCGATGCACTTCTCTCACCCCTTGCCAATCCTGACATTCCAAAGTGGCTGTGGGTCAAAACGAATGGCATCCCATTTTGGGGTAGGTGAATTCACCACCCAGTTTAGAACCTATTTTAGTGGGGATTGGGATGCTCACTGGGGGTACGATTTGGATTTTGACCCATGGCCAAGTGCTTAGACTTGTTGTTTTATCGCCAGCAGACTAAGAGGCTGCTTGCCATGCCAAAGGCATGCTCGGCGTGCGCCTCGCCAGCGCCTAACTGGCATTTTTGAGAACAGTTCGGAGCTCCAAGGGACCTCCAGAAATTTATGTCAGAACATGAGCCACCCAGTGATCAGCTGGGTTGCAAGAACAATTTGGGTGGTGTTGTTAGTTTTCCTTTTGGTTGTCCTTCAGAATTGGCAACAAAAATGGCCCTCAGTGTGTTTTTGCTAGTTTTCCTTTGGTTGTCCTTCAAGACAAAAAACAAGAATAGGCCCTCAAAACAGGAAACACTCATTGGCTCAGTCGACCCGTGCTTTGAGAGTCGCCCTGCGGTTCGAATAGCACTGGCGGAGTTGTCCAGCGAGGGATGTGACCTAAAAAATTCGCCCGAGCGAGGGGTTCAGCCAGTCGAAGGCGTGGCTTCGGCTTCGGCGAACGAAATATGGCTCGACAGGTACCCCGCCTGTGGTTTCCAAGGGCAAGAGGAAAGCCAAACGCCTGGCTTTTTAGGGTGGCCCAGATCCTGAGAAAGATGAGCCACCCAAAAGACATGGGGAATGCTTTGGAAGTTCCAGGCCCTACCCAAAAGGCGCTCAGGTCACAGATCGCACTGCGGGGTGGGAGTTGCCTGTTGTTCTCCCGGCAAAAAAGAGAAAGCGCACGGGAATCAGGTTTGGCGTCGCACAGTTGGTTTGCTTGTATTCGTTGCAATGCTACGTGGGCCGTCCCCAATTGGTTTAAGGCAGATCCGGGGGGCCGCAAAATTCTTCTTGGATGGTCTCCTATCGTTTTCTCGCGACGGAATCTTATGGGGCGCTCGCACAACACTTGTCCGCAGGCCTAACGCCATGATGCCTGGGATTTTTTGGATCAGACATGAGAGCTATGCTGTGTGTCTACCAAGGCTTCAGCCGCGTTTCCATCCGCATCCACAAAACCCGGCCTGCACAGCTGAAAGCATTCGAACAAAGAACCAGCTCCGGCGGGGAAGCAACATGTCAACTGGGCCCGGCAAAACATCGCTGAAAGTTCCAGGTAGGCGCCCTCTCCTTTGACTAAGATTTTGGCGGGGTTGGGCCCCGCGTGCCATGGATGTCGTGCCTGGGAATCCATCGGCTTGGCTCTTGCACTTGGCTTGTCCAGGGGTTGCGCTCAGATGAAGCCTCAAGCCCACCTTCTCACCTCTTGGCTTTCTAGCTTCGTTGGTGATCTGGCCATGGGGCATAATGGCTCCGTTTTGGGGTGGATGAACGTCCATTTGCCACCTATTTTGATGTTCACCAGGGATACAGGGTTTTGACCCACAGCCATCTCTTTTGATTGCTGGGTCCACACTGGGCAACTGAGTACTCACCAAAAGACCCATGGACTGTCGTAGATCTATCGTGTTGGGCCTTGGGCCTCTTGGGGCCAAGCCCTTGAAGAGTTTCGCCCGTTGGCCTAGGAAACGGTTTGGGTATGTTTTCGTGAAGCCTTCGGCAGGTTGAATCCAGGTACTCCTTGATAGCCTTGGATTGGTGGGAAAAGAACTCGTTTTTTGTGTGAAGCCAAATGGGGAAGGTAGCCCCCAAACTCCAAACCACCAAGCCAAAGCGCTAATTGGTAGGATGAATGTATACACCCATGGCTTGTCTTTTTTGAGTCAAAGGCTGATTGTATTGGTCCATATGAGCCACGGTCAAAACCCGGGTAGATGAAGGTTAGTAAGGGATAATCTCAACCATAAATAGGTGGAGCCGCCTTTTTAATTCCTTGCATGGTTCTGGGTAGGGATCTGAGGACCACTGGTTTAGACGGCCTTGGTTCCATACACCAGGGCCATCCTTGTTTTTACCAAAAGGCCAAAAGGACACCTATGATACTGTGGATGGACGACATCCTGCACCACTCTTAAATCCATGGGAAACCATTGTTTGTTGGTATTTAGAGGGGAATCATCGTTTCATGGTTTTATTTTTTTAGGTGGTGCAGGAAATCGTCCATCCACAGTATGGGCATTTGCATCATTAGTGTTCCCCTCAAGTCATGATTCCCACTCTTCTTTTAGGGACACCCCCATATTACTAAACAGATTAATCCTTCTAACACCCCTCTAAACAGATTTAGGGACCAAGATCCGGGGTGTCCCTAATCTGTTTATGGTGTCCCATGTGTCCCAGAAATCCGGGATTCCGGGTCAGGCATAGGGTCAGGGGTCCAGTCGCTCGCTAGGCGCGGCATGCTGCCGCGGGGCTCCGTGGGCCTGCAGCGCCTCGAAGCGAAAAAGTTGCTCGCGGGGCGTTTGGAGCCTCCTTGGGGATCCGATTTTTTTGGTTTACCCCGTGTTGACCCCGTGTTGACCCGCTCACTTCTTGAGTTCCGTGTTACTCCGACTTGTTCGTCACCCTTGAAAGTTGGACCATGGTGAGGCTTGGTTTGGCCCGTCCACTCACAGGCTTGGAAAGCTCCCGGACCAAAAGTTCGCAGGGCTGCTCCCCAGAATATCAACGGAAGTCCCAAAACGGGTTCCATTTCCCAAAAGGAGCTTCCTCCATGGATCGGCGTTGTTTTTTTTTCTTCTTTTTTCGGATCTGTGGAGTAAATGGTGATTTTTGCCTTTTTCTCAAGGCGAACCGACGGGATCGATCCGACCTTTGGCTTCCTCGTTTTGGTCCTTGCTCATTACCCAGACGCTCCAATTCGATGCATTTTGGGCCTTCAAACAGCCATTTTGGGCCTGACAGCCAGGTTTTGAGACCCCAAGCCCCCGCAAAGCTGTCAAAGCCAGGTTTTGAGACCCCAAAAACGCCCCTCTGGGGTGTCCAATGGAGGGTCTGGGTCTTCCATTGGCCGAAGCCGATCGGAGCGTCTGGGTAGTGTAGCTCATGACTCAGGGTCTCAGACTGTAGGCTTGGATTTGTCGCGAGGTTTTTAAGGAAACCAAGAGCAAATTCATGGTGCGCCTTTGGGACTCTTGCGTTTTGGTGGGTTGCAAAAGGAAACCCAGCGGAAACCAAACAGTTGGCTTTCAGTTTCGCTCAGTCTTGGAGAGCGGGGTAAGCCCAAACAATGGTTGTTTCATACTCTACTCCAAATCCAAACTTGTGAGCCTTGGGGGAATCATGGAACTACCCTCCTGTCCACTATCATGTAACTCACCAGGGGGTCCATTTTTGCTGGAACATGTTCGTCCAGCCCCCCGAAACGTCAGGTTCCATGTTTGTGGATGCCCCAGTACTGGTACTACGTACTCTGAAAAATGTTTAACTCTGTTGCCCAGTTTTTTTGGGGGGCCGGGTTCCCCTTCAATAGTTAAACTCAACCAACCAAAACAGGATGGTCTGTTTTTCCCATGGCCACTGGGCATTTGAGTTCAAGGTCAAACAACTGACTAGACCTTTACTTGTTCAGCTTGCGTTCAATCGCCCCCAGGTTGCCGAGAAGTAAAACGGGGCCGACGGCCGCACCTACGCTTCGTCAAAATGAGGCAGGGAGAGCCATGTTTTTTGCAACACATGGCGATTCTGGGCTAGACTTAGGATACTTTCTACATTTTACCAGTGACTCCATGTGAAGCAAACAATAAAATATACATTCTATATCTGGGCCTAGCTCTAACCATGGATTTGTTGGCCGCATAGCTTGCGTCCAGCCTGGTTTGTGAACCCCGCTCCTGGGGCTTCCAATGGAAGACCCAGACCTTTGATTGAACACCGACGCCCCTCTGTTGGGGTGTGTGAGGGTCTCAAACGACCCGGCGAAATCGGGCCCAAAAAAGAATCATGGAATCGGAGCGTTCGGGGATCCGCAGCCATGGGATCCCCATGGGATCCCAAAAGCCCCAAAAGCATCGCGAGCACCGAGCTTGGCTGCCCCGCGGTTGTGAGGATGTATTCTGCCTATTTTACGGCGAGCACACCGATTCGCGGGGAAAGCAAGCGAAAGCCATGACAAAGATCCTTTACTTGCGGATCCGGGTTTCGGAATTATTGCAAAAATTGCAGATGCACATGTTAAAACCATTCATGCCGTATAGTGAGCTTTGAGCTGTTCTCATTGCATGAAACACACGGCCAAAAAGTTGGCAGCAGGATATCACATGGCTTCTTCTGCTGTGTGCGCGTGCCGATTGCAAGCACTGCTCCACACAAACACGTCTCATAGCCTGCTCGTAGCCAGTTCTCACAATCTGTGTTCCACATAGCCAACTTCCTTTTGGGAAAGACATCCGCCTAGCCTCCGCGTATGTGCTTCCATTGCAAATTAATGTCCCAACCCAACAAGCAAGCCAAAGGCGGTGATTGCTCCTTTCCCAAGCGATGTTTTTCCCAGAGCATGGAAGCTGCCCCTGTCAAGCCGCAGCTTCCGGGCCTCTGGGAACGAAGGAACCTTTCTGCAGCCTTTCCAAGGGAGGTGTCGGCACCCGTGTCTATTTCGAAATACATCCAAAACGGCGGTGTCCTTTTAAATTCTCTGACCAGCCTAAGGGGGGAGCCCTCAAAAAGAAGAAGGAAGACACCACCTGGTTTGTTGTTCCTTCCAGTGCCCTTTTTCGGGAACACCTCCAAACCCAAACAGA